AGGTACTGCTGTGAGCCAGAGTCGGAGTAGGAGCTGTGAGCACAGGCCCTACCCGAGAGCACCAGTGCCACTGAGAGGAGCCAGGAAGGGAGCTGTAGCAAGGGTGCCAGGCACACAGCTGGAACCTGGTCAATATCTCATGAGTGAAGAGAAATTCTTAGAGTGATCACAGGAGAAAAGATTCTCCAGACACACATGGATCCCAAGCTGCTGAACTTGGCCTTATCTGTGCCTGGCTCTTCTCCTCTTCCTCTGCTGCTCTGGGATTCTGGCCACTCCTCTTCCATCCACAGACACTGTCCCCCACCCTCCAGATCCCTGCCTTGACCACTTTCACACATCTGCCCCGTTCCCAAATGAAACTGAGCACTCCTCCCTGTGACTTCCCACCAAGTCTGCAAGAGAAATTGCTGGTGGAAAACCTTAAACCTATCGAATGGAAAAGGAATACTTTATTCTTTCTGATGTGTTCTTACTTATGTTTCATGTTATTGTTCTATTTAGGGCTCCTAGTAACTGGGTGATGAACATGCCAATGGGGTATAACCCCTCTCCCCAATAGCTATGTTGGAATCCCCATATCCAAGGTGATGGTGATAAGTGGGGCCTTTGGAAGGTGCCTGGGTCATGACTGGGATACGGGTCCTAACTAAAGACACCTCACAAAGCCAACTTCTCTCTCCCACCGCTGGAGACACACTGAGAAGGGCCCAGCTGTAAAGCTGGAAATCTACTCTCTCCAACCACTTATCTTACCAGAGCCCTGAGTCCTGAACTTTTCAGCCTCTGGAACGGTGAGAACTAGGTATGTGTGTGTGTGTGTGTGTGTGTGTGTGTGTTGCTATTTTGTGATTGTTCCTGGAATAGTCTGAGTCCTCTGAACTCCTGTCCTTGGAGTGGGCACTTACTGTTTAAGGAAAGCAAAGACAGTGTTTTGGAAGGGGTGTCCATGAGTCCTGCTGGCTCAGCTGAGACAACTGAACTGTAAGCCAGGCCGAATCTGGAGGTTTGTAGGATCACCAGCTGCAGGCGAGATAGCAAAATGAGATCGGAAGCCTGATGCCTCTAGAAGGATGCACATGATTGTTGACAGTGATGACTCTGGAGGGGAGGGAGGGAAGCTGCAGGGAGAGCTCTACCCGGCTCTTCCTGGAAGTGAGCTGTTACAGCTGCGGGGAAAGTCCAGGGGTTCCAATCTGACCCAGAACTTCCTGGCAACAAAATGATCTGAGCTAGTGAAACTGAATGATCATGAATGTTCAGAAAGTCATACTTTGCCACTTCTTCAGTATATCCAAATTTAAAGAGAGATTAACATAGAGCACTTTGGTTTTATTTACTCTTTTTTTAAGATTTATTTATTTTTATTGGAATGTCAGATTTATAGAGACGAGAGAGAGAAAGAACTTCCGTCTGTTGTTTTACTACCCAAGCTACTGCAACAGCCGGAGCTACACCAATCCAAAGCTAGGAGCCAGAAGCTTCTTCTGGATCTCTTAAGAAGGGTCCCAAGATTTTGGGCTGTCCTCTACTGCTTTCCCAGGCCACAAGCAGGGAGCTGGGTGGGAAGTGGGGTGACCAGGAAACAAACTGGTACCCATATAGGATCCCGCCACATGCAAGGTGACAATTTAGCCATTAGGCTACCACACAGGGCCCTTGATTTGCTCTTTAAAAAGAGATTTATCTACTTAATTGAAAAGTAGAGCTAGAGAAAGAGAAAGAGAACTTTCATCAGCTGGATGACTCTCCAGATGGCCACAATAGCCAACACTGGGCCAGGTTAAAGCCAAGAGTCAAGAGCTCCATCCGAGACTCCCATGCACTTGGGCCATCGTTTATTGCTCTCCTAGCCACATTAACAAGGAGCTGGATTAGAATAAAAGCAACTGGGACTCATATGGGACATCTGAGTCACAGGTAAATTATTTCACTTTGCCACAAATCTGACTTCTGCTTACTCTTTGCAAAAAAGGCAGTTTGAAAGCAGACTTGTGTTACAGAGCTGGGACTTGGCATTGTGAGCATCTCACAGCCTCCATGGCACTCATTCTACTTGCTGACACGTAGAGTCAATGATTTAGTCTTCAGAGCTTCTATAGCAAATGCAATAGATGTGACGTTAGAGTGTCACAATGATGAAAGATGGCCTGGTCCTTAAAGATCAGAGCATCTCATTGGGTGTCAGGAACATCAGCAATGATAATCTATTGCTGTCATAAGACCATGCTTACTCATCAGGTAATATTTGAATGTTTAGATTCTGTTTAAATGGAAACAAGGGTCAGAGGGTGAGGAAGGATGTAAATTGGGCTCCCAGTAGAGCATCACAGATCATGGACAAGTTGCAACATGTGAGCCTACCTAGGGGCCATCAGTCTGTCACATGGGTCACTGTGCCCGGAATGAGGCTTTAAGGAGGAGCAGACATTTGCCAGGCAGAGATGGGCAGGGAGAAGGCAGCACAGAGGCGGGAGGAAGGGGACAGAGCAAGTCCGGTGTGGCTGGAGAGAGGTAGGAGAGAAGGCTGCACAGGGAGCCAGACAGTGCCACGTGAGAGGCCCTGTGTGCCCAGCACTGGCATGCCCTTTTCTCCTGAAGACCCTGTGGGGGCTCGGCAGACTTGGAGCAGAGAAGCGGCCTGAGTGGACTGCACAGTGAGGGAAGGCAGGCACTGTGAGGCTGTTTCGGGATGGAGGGAGGGAGGGAAGCCACAGGAAGCCTGTTTGCATGCTCCGACCTGGGAGAGCAGAGAACACAGACAGTCAGCCCGGGGCCTGCGCTGCGGTGGAGTAGGCTAGCCTCCATCCCATATGGGCACCACTTCAAGTCCCACCGCTTCACTTCTGATCCAGTTCCATGTTAAGGCACCTGGGAAAGCATCGGAAGTTGGTCCAAGTCCTTTAGTCATTGCACCCATGTGAGACCTGGAAGAAGCTGCAGGTGCCTGACTTTGGACTAGCCCAGCTCCATTCATTGTAGCTATTTCAACAGTGAACCAGTGGATAGAGGATCTCTCTCTCTCTCTCTCTCTCTCTCTCTCTCTCTGTAAACCTGCCTTTCAAATAAAATAAAATAAATAAATAGATTCTTTTTTTTTAAATGGGGACAATAATCCTATTAAGGAAGAAAAAAGACAGGGAGAGTATTCACATAAGGTTCATTTGAGAATGTATTAATTTTGTGTGCAGAAACCCTTTTTAATGTACTTTAAAAGTTTGCATTATAGAAGTGTGGTCACATAATAAACCCCCATGTACTCATCAACCAGCTTTGACTACTAACAATGTTTGGCTCTTCTCTTAACCATTCTCTACTTTCCTACCCTCCCAAACCTTTTGGAAGTAAATCATAAATAGCATATCATTTTATTCCCACAAGCTTCCCTGAGTATCTCTAACAGATCAAGATATATGTAGCAAAACATGCTGTGTTCACTCCCAACAAAATTAGCAGTCATTCTCACATGGTGTCTAGTGCCCGGTCCATGTCCACTTCTTTCCAGTTGTAGTAGTTGGTTTGCATAGATCAGAATCAAATCTCCACATGCCAGGTGGTGGAGCTTTGACATGGTGCTTAGGTCTCTAGGGAGAGAGGGAAAGGGGGCGCAGTGGGGAAGAAGGGTGGGCTGGATTTGGTGAGGACTTGGCAGTAGCACATGATTTCCACCTGCTTCTTCTGAGCCCCACCTTTCTCAGGAATAGAACAGGAATGAAAGGGCTTTGCCCAGCTTGGCATACTCTGATACTGCTTCCTAGGAGTTTGAAAAGAGGTGCAGGCAGGGGTCTGGTTAAAGAGAGAAGGTTACCATGCCATTTTGCTGTTCACTCCCTCTCACACTCACCAAGACCCTCCATTGCACTCTTGGACTATAAACCTGAGATACTAGCCTCTCCTGACTGTACCTGAAGTTTTTGCACCATTGAGGATTGGAATGCAAAGGCCCTTGCACCTACACAGAGAGAAGGTAGGGCAAAGAGCCAGGGCTAGAAAAGGGAATCTGGGTGCTCATGCCATCACTCCACCTGTTTCCTGGCTTTGCTGCAGGCTAGGCCAGGATATCCATCATTTAAGACAACCACACTGGCAATTAAGAAGCAGCGGGTTGTGGTTTCTGGGCCACGAATACTTGTACAAAGAGTCCAAGTTGAGCTTATAAGAATGCAAATGCCCAGGCTGACTTCAGGCTGGCTCAAGAGGCACATGTGAGTTCAAAAACCACTGACTCACAGCTCAGAACTAGGTCTCCAAAGACTTGTGGAGGACCAATGATCGTGTCAGTTCAGAAACGATGAGGCATGGAGTCAATCTGGGCCTTGCCTTCTGCATTGGTGAGCCAGGCACTCCCCTTGGACACAGGGCCTTGGAGGCAGCCAAGCTATGGGCTTCCACATCCCCTTGTTGGGATGGAAAACACGTGAACATTCAGAACTACTGTCTGGCCCAAACTCACCTGAGCACTGCTCCTAACCAGTCCACCCACTGGGGAGCTGTGGAGTCCTGCCAGTGGTGGCTTTCATTGAAAGGTAGTGGGTGCAGTTGGCGAATCTCCTCTGAGTGGGTGCTGTTAAAACAGAGGAGGAGAGGCACCGGTCCTGAAAGGGACTCCAAGAGAAAGGCAGAACACAGTGAAGGTCCCCAAAGGGGCATAGCAGGGTGTCTTCTTCACACTCAGACAGCTGTGTTCTGTTTTCCTCCCTCCAGGAGTCGTGCTTAGTGTTGCCAACCCAGCAATTCAAATCCCACCCTGGTGTATTTAATGTCATCATCAAACTATTTGTGGTCGACTACTCTCAGCAGGGTAACTTAGAAATAAGAACCTTTGAGTCTCTCAAATAGATCAGAGAAACTGGTTTCTGAAAGCAATGTTGGAGAGAAAGTCTTGCGACCAGAAGGAAGAGGGTAAATGCTTTTCAAGTACACAGCCCAGAGAGCACATATGTGTACAACTACCATCTCTACTATCGTATGTATGTAATCGTTCCCCCTATCCATTACAGCTACCCACTCTCCTAGACAGCAGTTCTGAAGGTATCGATCTGAGATCCTGGGGAAGAATATTATCAGACATATCACCCAGAATTCAAGAAGTAAGTGGTCCACTGATGTGTATTACAATGTTGCTGTCTTTGCACCATTGCTCTGTATGTATGTAATGATTTCCCACACTGGTTCATGGAGACATCCATTTGATCTTTCCATCTAGCAACATCTAGCAATTTCAAAGCACCTGTTCTTATCCCAAATTTCCCATGCTCCCATGTGAGAGGGGGGAAAAAAAGAAGCCACCGTTCTGATCTCACATGAGGAAGCGACTCACCTGGTGTGGCACAAACTGGAGGATTTGGAATTGACCCAGGCCTTCCCAGTACTAATGTAATCTTTTTTTCTAACTGTCCTAAATGCTGTATTAAGCATGAATTTTACAAATGTGATTTATGTTAGCAGTAATGGTGCATCAGGAGGGTGTTGTACCTTCTCCAGGCTGCAGGATGAGAACAGCCTGTAGAAATTGTGGCCCTTTGCAAGGCCACGACACTTACAGGCCACACATTTCCCCGTGCTTGTGGACTGGCTTGGTGACCCACTGGGTGTCAGGGTTTCTTCTGACACTTTATGAGATGATGCTTTATGGGATGGATTGATGAAGATAACCTCAAAAAATCTGTATATGGAATCCTTACCAACCCAGAAAGGATTCAGAACTCACAGAACCCCTCAGTGACACGCAGCTTGTTCCTCTGTGACAGGCTACAGACTGCGTGAAACGTCAACCAGTTAACACCGTGATAGACAGGCTTGCCGTAGGTCACACCCTTAGGTACTGGGCGTTTGTGGCCACCATGGCACACACAAATCCTATGTATGACATAACCCTGCCTGGCCTTGTACTCCAGCCTGTGTGTCTTGTCGGGCCAGGTGACTGGGTGTCCTGTGCAGTGTGGGGCTGCCAGCCAATGGGAAGGCTAAGGTGATCTTCATACCAACATGAATACATACCACCCGAAATTACAGCGTCATGGGCACCACCCTAGGCGCTTTCTCTGCACTGACTCAGTTCATTCCCCCAAATGATGCACTCTCTTGTATTGTCTTCTTAAAACTTCTCCCATCTAGAAATTGCTTCTTGCTGTTAGTAGCTGAAAAGTGCTGTGGATTTAATGATCCACAGTCAGATGCGGTCTCAGCTACTGCCCCTGTAGACCATTGGGGAAGATCAATGGGAAATAAGCAGTTCTCATGAAGTGTTTTGAAAGGGAGGCAGAAGTGAAGCTTAATTTCCCTTAAACTCAGTCACCACTGCAATTCCCCACTGATTTAGGCTCAGCTAACTTGGAAAAAGACTGGTTGTCATCTGTCGTTATACAGCTAGGCTGAGCCTGCGCCCCCTGTACTGATGCCCTTTCTAAACCTGAATCTTATAAAAGAGCCACTATACTGACAGTCACCTGCTGTGTGGGAGTCATCATGAGCATCCTTGTCTTCATATGAAGCATTTAAAAAATGCACATCAGTGCAATAGACTTGAAGTTGATAGAGAACGTTAAAAAATAAAATAAAAAATCTCCAAGGTGTATCAAGACATCTTAGTTCTGGGTAGGTGTTCCAGAAGATTTCTGACCTGCCTAGATAGCAAGTCTAAGCATTTGTGAACCAGCTCGAATCAGATAGTCTAGTTTATATTCATTAGTATTGGACCCTGGAACAGCTTCTTCATCTCTGATTAAATGAGCAACCTCCTAACCTTTTCCAAGACCGTCATAGGCTTGCCATGGTTAAAGCTGATTCCAACCTGATTGCTCAAGCCAGACTGTGATTATAGGCATGACTCACTGTGTACATTCTTCAGTTTCAGAGGGCAAGTGTTGGCATGCGGACAAGATGAGGCTGACAGGTGAACATCACTTACTGCGGGGTGAGAACTGTTTCCAGTCTCACCTGACAGAATCCTAATGGCTTTCAAAATTCCCAAGTGCCCCCGAGAGTGAGTAATACAATATGTCTGGGGAATAAAAGTGCCGTTGCTTTTGTTTAGTATTTTCCCTTACACAAAGCCAAGCAGCACTATAGAACCAAGATATGCTGACAGCTCTTACAAACTTCCATGGAGCTCTCAGCATTACACAGCTCTCTTCCAAGGACAAGGTCAACAGTGCTACGAGCTCCTGATGTGGAGATGACCACATCTTAGTGGACACAGAATTTGGAAATGGCTTTCCAAGAATGGAGACTGTTGAAAACTTCACACAGAGAGTGAGAGAGAGAACGTACAAGCCACACTTTCAAGGGAAACAGAAGAGTTCACATTTGATAAAGCTAAGCTAAAAACAAGAGATTTTTCCAATTATAAGAAACTAAATTCTGAATGCTCTAGACAAAGGAACTTGCTCTGAGATTGATTTTCTACTCCCCCTCATTTTATGTTCCCAATTTCCCAGCGTTCCATTTGATAACAGAGCCCACCAAGCAGCCCAGGGTCCTCTGCCTTTCCCCAAGACACATTTCCAAGGAATTCCAGGAGACTGGACAAAGAAAGGTGATCAAGAGATGTTCTTGGGGTCACTCACTGATTTTCTCTCTGGCCCATCCTTCCCTCCTGGTCCCTGAGCAGCAGGTAGCAGGTTTGGTCTTTGCTTTCCACAGATGGATGAAGACTTGCTAAGAACATAGATGTTTTCTCTTCCATGTAGAAGTCATAAGTACAGATCTGTGGACGTCTTGATTCTGATGGCCTTAAAATAACTGCAAGCTTTTGCTTTGCCCTAGTTTGTCCATCAGCCGAGCGTGCAAGACTTACTGTGGACAACCAGGCCCCTCATACAACACAACGGGCCCCAGAGCGTCATGCAGCTGATGGCCATCCTGGCCAACCTGCTGTGTGGCTACCCCGAGGGAGGAGGCTCTCGTGTGTTCTCCTTCAACTGGTATGAAGACAACAACTATAAGGCCTTCCTGGGCATTGACTCTGCCAGGAAAGATCCTGTCTACACCTATGACAAAAGAACAAGTAAGTGGCCCAAGTCCTGTGTGCCCATCAGCAGCTAACACTGGCTGTCATGTTCCCAGGTGACACCTGGGTGTGGATTCTCTCTAGGTCTTGCAGAGCGGGTGGGGAAAAACAGAGGTCTCCCGGGAGGCCTATTCTTTGTCTCCTTGCAGACAGGGGAACAGTGCTCATGGGGAATTCCGGATGTAAGCCACAGAAAGAATGGACGCCCCTTTGGAAAGGGAACAGAAGGGATGTTTCCCACTGATGTCATTGATTGAATTGGGGCTAGAGGAAGGGAAGGGGAGAGTGATACATAAGGAGGCAACCCCGAGACACATGCCAGCCTTGGGTCAGAAGGACGGCTGGCAAGTGACCACACGGGGAGCGGGGCTGTGTTTTCACAATGCAGAGCCATGAAGACCTGTGTGTGTTTGTATGGAATGAAATGACATTCCACATAGAAAGGCCCTGGCAAGGAATTTGCCCATTCTTTCATTTCTTTTTTTCCTTTTCTTTTTGTTTTGTTTTGTTTTGGTTCCTGTGGGGTAAAGGAGGATGGGGTGGAAAAGAAAAGCCACTGGGCAGCCTTGTAGTTGACAACGGACAAGAGGCAGCAAGGGACACATCTACCACAATGGGCCCTAGGAGAGCTCCATTTAATAAAGGAATTAAACGGCTCACTGATGGGAAGTGATGAAGGCTGGGCCCGCCATTCCAAGGGGAAGCCGAGCTTCACTTCACAGCCTCTTCACCTGAGAACTGCCATCATCACAGGCAACGTGCTCAGCCCCTAAAGCAGCATAAACCACAGGGCAAGCCCCTTCCTTTGTCCCCCACCCCACCCCCACTGCCCCTAAGAGGTTACTCTCAGAGCTCAGGTGGTATTGTTACTAATGATGAACTCACAACTGCTGAGGAACAGCCTGCTGAATCGGCTGACTTGGGTGATTAGCCGAGCCCTCCAGCCTGGGGCTGGCACGTGAGACATGGGAGTTTGGATATACAGATCACTGTGCATAGTAGCTACCAGCAACTGGACTGACCCACCCGTTTCTACCAAATATATTCCTTCTCTCCCGGCAGCATCCTTTTGCAATGCATTGATCCAGAGCCTGGAGTCAAACCCTTTAACCAAAATAGCCTGGAGGGCAGCAAAGCCTCTGCTGATGGGAAAAATCCTTTTCACTCCTGATTCCCCAGCAGCGCGAAGGATTCTCAAGAATGTAAGGCCCCAGCTGATTTTCTGACTTCCACCTTGGATTCCCCAAGGACAGCGTATGTGTGTGTATGTGTGTGTGTGTGTGTGTGTGCGCGTGTGTGCACCTGACTCAGACTTGATCTTTGCTAAGTGGACTCCTCGCATTCCTCTCCATGCACAGCCATCAGTGGGTGCTTGACTATTCCTGTCCTGGAGCTCTCTCCTTTCTGCTGCAGCCTATAGGGAGGGTTCTTTGCCTCCGCTCGAGTTCCACCCCGTGCTGGAAGAGCAAGCAGTATTTCTCCAAAATCTAGCTTTTAATGAGGGCTTGGGGACAATGACATCATCAACATGACAAGGATCTCTGATATATTGACAAATTTGTCGGTCTAGGAGTCTGGGTGTGGTAGGCTGGTCTGGGAAGTATCAATCAATTGGAAAACTAAAAGCATCTCCTTGGCAAGTCTTCCCAGATGCTGGTTATGTTTGGGAAGGGTGGGATGGGCAGGAAAGACACAACCAAGGATTCTCCCTCACCTTGTTCTGTTTCTTTCGGGGCCTCTGCCACTCTCTCTTTCCTTTAGGCCAACTCAACCTTCGAAGAACTGGAGCGCCTTAGGAAGCTGGTCAAAGCCTGGGAAGAAGTAGGGCCCCAGATCTGGTACTTCTTTGACAAGAGCCCACAGATGAACATGATCCGAGTATGGAGGGCTCTAGAGGTGGGGGTGGGGGGCCTGTGCAGGGAGAGGAGAGAGACCTGGGAGGTCCCATTCATTTCCCTTGAAAAGATTAATCATCACTATAAGTAGATCCAAATGGAATTAGCAGGGCCTAAAAGCACCAATTCTGGGGGGCGTGGTTACCAAGTGGAGTCCTTGACTTTGGGAAGTATGTTGAGTGATGGAGGAAGGCTAAAAGCATACACAAGTCCAGAAGCTTTCTGGGGCTTCCTGGCTTTAACAAATCACCTAAGGGCTCAGAGTCTCAGGAGAATCTGCTCTCCACAAGGGCTGGTTCCATAAGTTCTAAGACAGCTGAGTGTACCTCTTTGTTCTCGTGGGCAGCTTTGAAAACCACAGCCTCAAAGAACAGGGAGAGTGACAAGAGAACAAAATCAATTCCCTGAGGAAAAGAAAGTCTCCTATATACCATGTTAGTTGCCCCACATCCTTTCCTGCCCCCACCTTGAGCATTCACCTTCCTCTGTTATAGTCATCACCTGTGTGCTGGGGGAATAGGATGGAAGGCTGCATGCTGCTAACAGAAGAAAAGCCACCAGCTTCCTAGGGATATTCAGAGTCTCTACCTCTAGACACTAAAGATCAGAAATGGCCTAAGAAGGAGACCACGGATGGTGTGGGGTGTCTAAACTGGAGCTGTTTTCCTTCTCCCCAAGGACACGTTGCGGAACCCAGCAGTGAGAGACTTCCTGGCTAGGCAGCTTGGCGAAGAAAGCATTGCTGCCGAAGCCCTGCTTAATTTCCTCCACGAAGGGCCTCGAGAGAGCTGGGCTGATGACACGGGCAGCTTGCACTGGATGGATCTCTTCAACATCACTGACCACACACTACGCCTAGTGCACCGATACCTGGAGGTAAGGGACTGCCTGCTCCCCAGGAGTCCACACTGGGCCCCGTGGATGCATCCAGATCCCTAGGCAAGTCAAGTGGTGTCAGGTGAAAGCTTCCAGTCTCCCACAGAAGTCCCCAAGGCCCCAGCAAGACCCCTGCTCCAACAGTTCCTCCTGCCTGTCAACTACCCTTGACTCTTCCTCATCTCCCTCTTCACTTGTATCCCCAAAGCATCATGACTTCCCCCAAACCCCTTCTGTCTGCTACCGCATCTGTGGCCAGCTATTGGCCAGGGCCCACCAAACTCAAGAGTTGCTGGAGGCTCTTACACATGAATTCTTCAGGAATTTCAGAGTCAACACATTCAAACACCAAACTTTTCTCCCACCCTGTAAAATCCATCTCTATTCATTTCTTGTCCTCATCAACATTTGTTTGAATTCTCAAATCTCAGAACTTCAAAAGAAATATTTTTGTTGTTTGAAAGACATAGAGCAAGATATCCTATTTACTAGGTCACTTTCCTTCGTTTTGTTTATTTTTTTCTTTTTTAAGATCTATTTATTTTTATTGGAAAGGCAGATATACAGAGATAAGGAGAGAAAGATCTTCTGTCTGCAGGTTCACTCCCCAAGTGGCCACAATGGCTAGAGCTGAGCATGTGAAGCCAGGAGCCAGGAGCATCTTCCAGGTCTCCCACACAGGTGTAGGTTCCTAAGGTTTGGGGTTGCCCTCCACTACTTTCCCAAGCCATAAGCAGTGAGCTGGTTAGGAAGCGGGGTGGCTGGGACACGAATTAGCACCCAAATGGGAATTATGCAAGGCGAGACTTTAGTCATGAGGCTACTGCATGGGGCCCTACTGGGTCACTTTCTAAATGCCTGCAATAGTCAGGACTGGGCCAGGCCAAAGACCAAAATCAGGATCTCAGTCTTGGTCTCCCTTCAGGGTGGAAGGGATTCAAGGAGTTGACCATCACCTGCTGCCTCTCCAGGTGTGTATTAGCAGGATGCTGGAATCAGGAACAGGTCAGGGCTGGAACCAAGGAGCCCTGGGAACTACAGCATTAGAAGTGGTAGCTTAGGTATATCCCCAAGCTAGGAAATTTAATGTCATCCTTGGTTTTCTTCCTTCACCTTTTTCATAGCAGCTATTGTTTATTTATTTTTTAAATACAGAGAAGTGTTTATTTATTCTTTATTTTTTTAAAGATTTATTTTTATTACAAAGTCAGATATACAGAGAGGAGGAGAGACAGAGAGAAAGATCTTCCGTCCAATGATTCACTCCCCAAGTGAGCGCAACAGCTGGTGCTATGCGAATCCGAAGCCGGGAACCAGGAACCTCTTCCGGGTCTCCAACACGGGTGCAGGGTCCCAAAGCTTTGGGCCATCCTCAACTACTTTCCCAGGCCACAAGCAGGGAGCTGGATGGGAAGCAGGGCCACTGGGATTAGAACTGGGGCCCATATGGTATCCCAGCGCGTTCAAGGTGAGGACTTTGGCCGTTAGGCCACGCCGCCGGGCCCGCAGCTATTGTTTATTGAGTGCTACTTGACACCAAACACTGTGTTAAGTACTTTTAGATACATTAATTTCCTTTATTTCATTTATTGTTGTTTTAACTGACTTATAGTAATAAAGCATATTCTTGGGTTGCTGTGTGCTTTAATATATGTATTGATGACATCAGGGTAATTGACATATCTATCATTTCAGATATTTATTGTTTCTTTTTGTTGAGAATACTCAAAACCTTTGTACTATTTTGACATTGTCAGCCTTAGCCATCCTATGGTGCCAGGGAGCATTAGAAGTTATTCCTACTATCAGACTTGACCCTTCAACCAACCTCTTTCCATCCCTCTCTGTCCTGTGCCCTCTCCAGGCTGTGAGAGTCACACTTCTATTTTCCTCTTGATGGAGATCAACTTTTAAATTTTCACATGTAAAAGAGAATACAAAATGTATGACTTCCTGTGCCTGACTTACTTTCCTTAGCACAATGTCCACCATCCATGTTGCTACAAATGGCAGAATTGCATTCTTTTATGGCTGCAAAATAGTTCGTGTCCTATATCTATATCACAGTTAATTTCTCCACTCATTCATCAACAGATGCACACCTAAACTGATTCCATACTTTAGTTATGGTTAATAAGCACGTGAGTGCAAGTGTCTCTTGGGACTCTTGGTTTCAGGTGCTTTGGAGGTATACTCAGTAGTGGGCTTGCTGGCTCCTATGATAGTCCCAGTTTCTGAGGAAACTTCACGCTGCTTTCCACAGTAGCTGTGATAATTGCTATGCCCCCATCAGCGCCATAGACTTCACCTTTCTCCACAGCCTCACCAACACCTGTTCTTTTTGTCTTTTTGAGGCTAACTTCTCTAACTGGAGTGAGATGATATCTCACGTGGTTTTGATTTGCATTTCCTGATGAGCTTCAATCAGTTCTCACAGCTCCACAAAGCAGACAGGAAAATGGCCAAAGCTGAGATGGACAGAGGTTGAAGAAATCTGCTGCAGATGTTGGGAGAGGCAGGCAGGCTCTGGATCTGGTCAGGCTTGAATTTCGGGCGACCTTCCTGATCTCTCTACTGCCCCCGCCGTGTCCCAACCTGGGCTCCTCCAGCTCCTCTGTCTCTGGCTTCTCAGGCTTCTCTGGCAGTCCGAGGACTAGAGGCCTTGGCATTGCTGCACCAGCCTGCTCTAGATGCGTCCTCCATGGATCTCAGGGCTCACTCTTTGTTGGCGCAGGCAGGTATTTGCTCACACTGATACTAGAGTTACATTCCAAATATACATCTGCTTGCATCACTCCACATTCAGAATAATGACTCAACCCTCAAAGAATACAAACCCCTTCCAAACCCTCGCACCCACCCTCCCAGCACTGCCCACTCTCTCGCCTTCAGCCCTGGTCTTTCACACCCTCGGGCTCTCCCATGAGCTCCTATGATGTCACCCTTGGCAGTGCTGATTTCTCTGCTCATTTTTTGTAGCTCTTGTGGTCATAAACCTTTTTATTGAAGTTTTTAAATTCAATAAATGCAGGGGAACCCAGGAGTTGATCTCCCTTCATGACACTCCTGATCCCTCCATCTCACCTTTCTTTAAAAGGAAAAAAAAGTTATTGGAAAAGCAAATCTACAGAAAGAGAGAGAGAGAGAAAGGAGATCTTTCTGCCGCTTTACTGCCCACATGGCTGCAGTGGCTGGAGCTGAGCTGATCCAAAGCCAGGCTCCAGGAGCTTCCTCTGGGTCTCCCATGCAGCTACAGTGTGCCAAGGCTCTGAGCCATCTTCCGCTGCTTTCCCAGGCCATAAGCAGGGAGCTGAATGGGAAGTGGAGCAGCTGGCTGGGACACTAACCGGCGCCCATATGGGACGCTATTGTTTGGAGGTAGAGGAATATCCAATTGAGCCATTGCACTGGCCCCTCCATCTCGTCTTTCCACTTGCCCCTGCTCAACTCTATTCTGGATACAGCTCCTTGATCCTCCTGCCACCAACAGCTCCACAGAATGAGGGTGTGGTTTTCCCATTCAGGGAGTGCCCTTACTGGCCATGTTCCCAACTCCTGAAGATCTCAGGGGGCTGCTTAATCTGGCTGAGTCATGGGGAGGGGGGGATTTTAAAAGGTTCACAGAAAATGGAAAGAAGAAATAACTTCATTTTGTTGCCAAAAATGGTTTTGCAATCCACCCATCATTTACTCATCACACAGATTTTCATGAACTTTTGAAGGCCCCCTTACCTACACACTGTGGGGAGGGTTAGTGTGAGCAGGGTTGCTATGAGGTAGCAGAGGGTGTTTCCCAGAGAGAAGGGCATGCACGGTAGTAAAACTCACATCCACCAAAGCCTGAAATACCTTTTCCTTTCCCTATTTTAAACTCATTCTTTCTTGGCACCTCAGCTCTTGAAGGTTGCCTCCAGCTTGACACAGGTTTAGTCATCCTTCTCTGCTTCCTGGCCCTCTCTTCATGTCTCTCCAAGTTCAATGTTAATTATCAAGGTGTCCTGCTCTGATAGAACAGCCACACTAAGGTTATTCAGCATCAAGGGAGTCAGTCAGCCATTTCCAAATTCTCAACTCATTATACCTGGGTAATGTCCTGGTCAGGGCTGCCCACACCTGCCTGGGCCTCCTCCTGTCATCTAGAACCATTAGAAGATGCTCTGAGCAACTGGGAGGAGGGATTTAGATGTAATCCCCTGGGGTGATCCCTCTCTAGCCCAGGCTAATCATGGAGCAGAAGCTTGGCTCACTTTGTCACCAGGTGCTCCTAAGAGCCATTTGTTGCCTTCTTGCCACCAGAATAATTCCAGAGCTTGTGCCCTGGGTTCTCTGGAACTCTGAAAGTAAAGGCACCAACCTCTGAGGCAGCTGCCACACCAATGCTCAGAGAACAATGAAGTGATGCCCAACCTGTCTAAATCAAGATGGATATCTTCCTAGGCATCAACCCAGGCTAAAAAGAGACCTGGAAATCTCTAAATCCGTGTAACTCAGATTTGCAGGCCTTTGAAATTCTTTTGTACAACAACTCAGTCAGCATCACCCTACCATCACAGTCCTTCCACCTGCCAAGGCCACATCCCCAGCCACACCCACCCAAGCAAACAACAAGGAGGGCAGAGGGAGAGGCACCCTTCCTGCTCTTACACAATGGGCTGGAGTGCTTCTCACCACAGTTGTGTGAAACAGTGCAAGAATGCTTCCTGCTTGAAGTTTTATCATTTCCATGTAGTATGTGGTTAGTGCAGCTCCAAGTATCTGACGTATTGAATATGTATTAGTTGCTTAAATGGTGAAGAACTTAGTCTCATAAGTGAGATTTTGCAGGCTCACAGCCCTATCTGTTGTGGCAACAGTTTCAACATCCATGAAATTGGGAACAATGATAATACTTACCTAATAGGCCTGTTAGGAAAACCAAATGAGCTTATTCATGCAAATCATAGGTCTATTGTAAATATTTGACAAATATCAACTCTTAAGTGAAGTACAAATCAAGTTAT